CTCTTTGACCCCCAGCATGCAGCTGGACTGGGGCTCATTTTGGCTGTGGGCTTCTCTTGATGCCAGGCCCTCTTACCCGCCCCGTCCCTGCAGCCCATCTGGGGCCATCCCCACCCTTGCTGTGCCAGGACAGGGACTGCTTTTTACCTTCCCTGTCCCTCCTTCTCTTTCCTGGCCATTCCCTCAACATGAATCCCGTGTCTTGCATCAGCTCCAGCACTTTCCTTTCCCCATTCTTGCTCACTTAAACCTTCACCTGATCTGCTGTCCTGCTCTCCATCCCTTCCTCCCCAGCTTGCTTCTCACCATTCTCTCCATCAGCCTCCCTCCCGCAGGATATTTATTTCTCTACCTCTATTTCTTTCTCTCCCTCTCTTCCCCCTGCTGCCCTTCATCCTCGTGGGCCGGGACGAGCCCTGGTGCCTGGGGGCTGTAATCCACCGCTGCCGGTGCCACGGCACAAACCTCGCCTCTCGGCACTGGAGGTTTTGCCGGGCAGCGTGGGCTGGACAAAGCTGCACCCACCTCTCCAGAGGAGATGGAGCTGACAGCAGCCATGCCCATGCCCTAGTGAGGGTGGTTTGGTGCGGGGTTAGCGCTGCCTGTGTGAGAACTTGTCCCTGTGCCTCTCGCAGCATGGTGAGCTCGGGGACGAGGGATGCCCAGCCTTCCCCCGTGAGCAGGGCGGGAGGGTGACCACAAAAGGGGAAGAGGTCTAGAGGCGGTGGGAAGCTGCCACCACTGTGGGGGCATCACTCTGTCACCAAGACCCAGTGGTCACCAGCGGTGTGTCCTGGTCCCCTGCAAGTGTGCCAGAAAGCCACCGGCTTGAACCGCTTCCTCGCCCTGCGCGCTGGGATAGGCTCCCAAAGGGCAGGTCCTGTCAGGAGCATCTCGTGTACGGTCTGGGTGATGAAACGTCCTTTTTCAGCATCAGGTAGGAGGCCAGAGGAGCATCCCAGGCACCAGCAGAGCGGCGTTTGCCTGTGGCGTAAACAAGATTTGCAGATGCCTGGAGCAAAGGAAGAGCCCTTTGTCCGGGGACAGCCGTGTCCAGTCCGGCAGCGTGAGCTGGACACACACACGCACACGTGCACGCCAAGTCCCGCACCTCCGAGCACAGCGTCCACAGCTGAGCGCTCCTCTGCCTGCGTTTCCCCGTTCGTGTGGCTAATCCTGAATTGCTACAGCAAATGCTGACCTTATGGGAACTGCAAGCAGATCCCAATTCCCCTGTAGTATTACAAAAATAATAACTGTAAACAATGAAGATCTTTCTCTTTGCTTATACATATATATGTCCGCATAGACAATTATTTATGTGTACAGAGAGAAAGCAAGGTCATTAATAAGGTGGATACTAACTTCTGTACAGTTTGCTGAAAGTTTTCCCATAAAAGCCTAGCAGGAGAGATGAGGCAAGACAGAGGTAAAGACATTTTGCCCACTTCAGTATATCTAGATTTTTTTAGTAGGTTTGTCTTTTCATCTGCCTCAATGCAGTGAGCTATGCACTTTTTAAAATTTACAGCTGCCGTGCTGTACAAGGCCATGTTCTCAGTTGCTCGTGACCTTGCCAGACTCTAAGTGCCGGGGTTTAAGTTTCCATGCTGGGTGTCTGCCTTGGGCTGATTTGTGATTTTTCTCTGCATGCATGTTTGATTTCAGCTAAAACTGACCATTTCTAAGAGGGAGATTAGGTGAAAATATATTGCTTTGCCCATGTGATACAAGTTGGAAACATCTTTATTTCCATGTCATTGGGAACTGCTGTTTTCTTCTTGCTTTGATGCAACAGCTTGAAATTTAGAAGGGCTCCGGGAGACCGGTTTTGCCTTTTGCTGCTCAGGGAACGTTTTCCCGGAGGCATTTGTGCTGTGAGCTTAAGGAAACTCTCAGCTGTGTGATCAGCAGGGTTTTGGTCTGTCTCCCCAGTCCTGCTCAAGCACCGCTCCCGCTCCCAGCAGCGAGGAGGAACAGTGGGGCAGGGCACTGCCAGTTATTGATGGCCCCTCTTGTCCTTCTTGCGTGCAACGGAAACTTTACATGTTTAGCCCCTGCTCGGAGGTGTTTCTGTTTCCTCCTGCGGTTTGACGGCGTTGGACAGAGAACTTGCACAGTCACTGATGGCTGCAGCCTGGCTGGGGACTTTGGCAGCACTGGGGTGGGTGAGGAGCTTCCCAGGGTCAAGGAGATGCGTTTGAAAGTCCAAGCACCTTTTGAAGGGCTTTGTTGAGTGGCTTTTTCATCGGCGTCATGGCTGTGGGTGGAAGGTTTCACAGAGGAAGGATTGCTTGCTAGAACAGAGGCAGTGCTGGAGTCCTCTCTCGGCCAGTCTGGGTCTGCTGGTGAGATTAAACTAGTCCGAGCAGGTTTAGAGCATCGGTGCCATTATAGCACCATTGCTGTTAAGTCAAAATGCTCACAACGTGAGTTCAAGTGACGTAAAGAGACGGAGAGCTGTGACCTTGGCAGTGACTTCTCTGGATGTTTCTGGAACCTGCATCATGTTTTGGTCGCCGCCGTCTGCCCACATCTCTCTTCTGCTTCGCTTGTGCTCTGCGGCAGTGCAGGCATCAGAGTGGACCCCCACTGCTGTGTTCAGATGGAGCTGGAGGAGATTCTCCACTGCAGGACTGTGGAAGAAACTGTGTCAGTGACTGGCCAGGCCCAACAGCAAAGAGCGTCTATCCGTCGTGGGGCTTTCTGCTGGCAAAATGCCCTCGACACCCCAAGGGCAGGATGCTGCTGAGCACAAGTGATGAGAGAGGAGAGAGATGTGGTGACCCTGGCTGGTTTCCCTCTAGTGAGGCAGAGGAGAGGAGAGCTGCCTGTCACCCTACGAGAGTGCCGGGCTCTGGTGGCCTTCCTCCTCCCTGCCTGCCCTCACCCCACGCGGTGGCCAACATGCTTCGTACTGCCCAGCATGGCCCTGGAGTCCACCAAGAGGCACGGGCTGAGAGCCCAGGTTTGCGTATGCTGCAAACCTGCACGTCCCCTGGCCGGGCCGCAGGAAGGTGAGCCCGGCAGCTAACCCTGAGAGGCAGCGGGAGGAGGGGGGGTGCCCTGCTG